AAGCATCAAAGGCTTGTGTTCTGACAGCCATGAGTACAAAACTTCTTCGTGGCGCACAGTATCCATCGTAGGTACAACAATGTCTGAAGATGTGACGTTGTGGGCGTCGATCTCAATGGAAGGCACCTTGGACTGCCAAGCAATCCAGTCACCAGTGGCGATTTGGACGTCAAAGTCGATGAGGGAATTGTCGGAACCCATCGTTGGGAGGTCGATGCCGGTTTGCTTGCGCAAGAAGTAGCCCATCTCAGCCCGAAGGTCGAGTTTAGCATCACCGGAAAATGCCCAAATGATGCTCACAAGCAATCGTTTGGTGACATACTGTTCTACCTTTTCAGGTGCAAGAGGGAAATCGGAGTGTTGCAGGTTGTACTCGATAACGTTTCGAGCTGTCTTGTTGAGCAGCGAGAAAAGTGTGTGCAACGCACGTGTCGAGGTGAAGTCCATGATATGATCTATAGAGTCGGCGAATGTCAGGGCAGAGTCGACAAGATCTCCGTCGCTGAAATAGCGCTCCAGAATGGACGCGATCTGTACTTGAGTGGCAAGATTGGCAGACTTAGATGCGTCTGTGGCCAATGCATCAGTACGACGGCCAGGCATATCGACAGCATCTTCATCGTCCGCATCCAAAGGCACGGTCGACAGAGTGTTGAGGTAGTGACGGTAGACCATCGATGGCTCGATGACGTCTTCACTGAACCAGATCATACCGCAACGACTAACGGTGGCCAAGGTGGCATATCGAAGATGCTCGACCTCGAACATGATGCGAACATTAGGTGGGAGGTTCAGACGTTCACCATTGGGCAGCGTGAGCAGTTTGTTATCATCCAGCACACTGCAATCACGTTAGACAGTCGCGAAACTAGCCAGTCCTGATACGCACCTATTCAAGTTCTCGACCCACTCAGGATCAACATCACCATCGAAGATGATCCAGTGTCTCTTACTACTTTCACCACGAACATCATCAACAATCTTGCGCAAGATGTGAGTGAACAGCCCGTCGTTCCATTCACGTGTGGTAGGATCGAGTGTGCCGTACAGTGCGTCCTTATGCATTGCCTTAGGGTCAATGACATAGGGAATTCCTTCAACGCCATCGAGCCTCTCAAGTGCCGCAAGTAAAACCTGCCAAGCATTGGTTTTCCCAGTACCCGAAGGTCCCACCATCATGAGACCATGTTGAATCTTTTGAATCTGATAAAGCTGAAGAATCTTGGCAACCCATCGATCACCATCGACAAGGCGGCGTTCCGCGCAAACTTTGAGAATTTGCTCGCGCAGAGCATCGAGGTCGACCGGAACGTAGTCGGTACCGGGGAAGACATCGGCAAGCAGGCTGTCCAGGGTAAGCCATTTGTCTTTATAGAACAAACAAAACTTACCTCGTAAGCAGAGGAACATCATCAGCAACCAACTTCGGCACAATTGTCTCCGTGACACTCTGGATGAGAATGATCTGCTCCGAAATGTTATCGGAAAGGCCCACTACATCATCGGCATCTTCGGATCTCGCACTCTGCAGACGCTCACGCTTCAAGATACCAGCACTTGCTAGGACAGCCTTCAAAGCACGAAGACCGAAATCGTAATGTGGCTGGGGGGAAAGTTGTTCGTCGCAAAGATTGAAGAACGGTACAATCTTTGAAGCGAGTGATTCCGCTGTACGGAAACCCTGTGAGAAGAGCATGACCTGAGCAATCAGCTCGCGGTCAGGTCTCGTCATGGCCATCCTGAATGAGCAACAATGGATTCAGAATGGAACGTATAACTGTCAGGATAGAACGTACGGCCTGAACAATTTCGTCAAGTTAGGCGGGAGCTGAGACCGACCAGCGTAGTTGGGGTTAGTCGTGATGAATATTCCTTTTACATATATTAGCCAATATCACCGCGCATTATAAGATTGTTACCGATATTCTTATTGATCTTGAGGCTTTTGCCAACAAGCTCAATTTCGATGTTAGGGTTCTTCACCAATGCAACAAGACCTTGCTGAATGCTTTGTACTTGCTGAGATACAGCACTGAGAATACGCTCCTCAAGTCGATTGAACTCGTCAAAACATCCCCATGCACCAACTTGACAAAGCCCAACGAAGATGCGACCCATGGCTTGAAAATCAAAAGTCTCGTCGCAACAGAAGACCAAAACGAAACGCCCCAGTTGAACACCAAGAGCTTTGACAGACTCCGTTTTGCCTGAATTTACGTTAGTCTGACATCGGAAGATAAAGACGACGTTCTTACCTGTACCAGCAGGTCCGAAAGGTGAGCCTCCCAATTGGTTGTCGAGCGCTTGAGTCAATGTTAAGTACACTCGGTCTGTCAACGGTGTCTGGACAAGACGATCTGGGACACCGAGATACTCCCATCCGTAAGGGAACGATGCATCGGCGACGCATATGGCAAGCCTGTCTAGTGGGTTGTCCACAGAGCGATCCAGATAGAAACGCATTTGTGCTAGCCACGTAAATGCCTTGGTGTCTGTGACACGCTGCTGGATGAGGGTACGCGTAACGTCTCTTTGGTGGACCAGTTCGGTAATGAGGTGCTCGCACTTGCGGCGGGTGACGGGGCTCAGTTCCTGTAACACAATGTCCGCAAGAAGGTCGAGCGCCTGACTGACTGTTTCAAGTGGTACTTCCGGGAGCTTCCCAGACTCAAGAGTGGCATCAACTGCAGTAGTCCATGCAACTTGAACAGCTAGAGTGACTAATTGTGCAGGATATTTCTCCATCCATGTCATGAGCTGGTCCATTTCCAAGGGAGAACCAGTGCCATAGAAGGACTGTAGCTCGGTGACAGCATCGCATAAAAGATCCGCAAGGGACAATCGCATCGTGGATTCGAGCTTTGCGAGCCAGTCGTTGATCTTGGGGTAGTCCTTGAGCAAAATATGCTCAGTGAATTTAACCTCCTCTCCTTCGCGCGAGGCCATGCCCTGGATCTGAGTGAGGTCCTCATCAAGCTTGATGGTCGAAATACCAGCAAACATCTTTTTGAGGTGCTTCATAATGCGCACGATATCCTTGCTGTTGCCGATGATCTCCAGCAGGTCTTCATCACCAACAAAGTAGAACCGAGGGAACGAAGACCGCTCGCGCTCGAGGTATTCACCCAGCGCCTTTTGGATCTTGTTCAAGAGGTCCGCCAAGCGTTCTAAGCTCTTCTGGATGCTCTGAATGTTCATGACATCTATGACAAATGGCGACTTGTACACTTTTTTCATCACGGTAAGGAACTCTGCATTAATGTTTTGGAAGCGGGCGCTTTCCACCGGAAGGAGGTGCTTGATGTCCGCACTGCCGGAGAAGATGCCCTCTAGATATACCCATTGACGCTGTACGTCAACCCAGATATCTAGAACAGCATTCAGTGGATTTCACACAAAAGAATAACCAACAATCATACCAAAGAGTACATGAATCCTGTTGAGTTTATCTTCCCATGACCCTGCTTCTTCTTCGAAGACTGGAAAGCAAGTTAAAACGGCGTCGATGTAAAATCATGTCACATACCCTTGTAATAAGGCGACAATTTCATTGCAGTCAGGGAGTTCAAGTTCTCGCTGCACTTGTTAAAGAGGTCATCCCATCCTCTGGAAGTAGTATGGTGAGCATTATACGTGGCCTTGCTGAGGATAGCTTACTTGATCAGACGACACTTGTTCTGATAGTTGATAAGATCAAGCGTGTAGTTCGTCCATATTTCCTTCACTTGCTTGATGTACTCTTCGAGGGCCATCTTCAAGAGAGCGTTAAGCATAATGAAAGAAAGATAACGATGCCGCCTACCTCCCCCTGCGCTTGGATGATAACCTCGCGTATGGGAGTATCATTCTTCTTCAGGTCTAAATCGTAAACATGGCCAAGAGTCATACTGTACTACAATCAGCACGTATAACCGATGAGTGACGGTATAGAACAAGCTCACAGGGTTAAACTGATCTGGGATGGCAGTCTCAAAACCTTGAAGAGCTGCTTCCAGTGTCTATCCTTTAGCGCCTCCGACTTCAAGTCCGAAATGAGTGAGTTCGACTTCAAAAGTCCACGCAGTACATCCTGGACGTATTCGAACGCTGCATACTGCCTCATACGCGTGGGCATGTCCCTTGTCGACGTCAAGAGGCCATCGAGCTGCTGCCTCAACTTCCTCGGTTGCACCACGGACCACGACATCTCCCTCAGGTCACTGATCTGGCTCCATATACCAGAAAGCGCCGTCCACACTGCTTTGAGGTCACGTAGCTCCTCGAAGACTGGTTCAAGGCGTGTATGACGCGTTAGCTCGAGGTCTAGAGCCTCCTTCGCCCTACAAACGAGGTCGTACTCCTCCTGCACGCGAGTAAGCTTCCCCTCGAACACGTTAATAGTGTTCATAGCCGTATCTGCACGAAGGCTGCCTTGTACAGGACGTGTCAATTCCCATTCCGACAGGATATCGTTGATCTTGTTCTCTACGATCTTGTCTTCGGCAACTATTTTGAGTTGAAGGCCCGCTATACGAACAGATCATGAGTCACAAGTGATAACGCAAGTTCAAGAGAATAACCCCGTACCCAACTGCTCTTGAATGGAATCATTCTTTCTCTTGAGAATCTCGTTATATGCGCTCCACTCTCCTCTAAGTTGATCGCTGTATAGCCAATCATCTGGGAATTGGTACCGAAAACGCTCTAGTGTCTTCTCGCCGTTGGCACATAGGTCTATCATAGGACCCCATGTCTTGGTCTTGCGCTTGAGGTCCTGTACGAATGTAATGAAGGTCACCGCTGCCGCGGTTGATGAGTTGGAGGGACTAAATGCCTAGAGAACTGTTAGGGCCACGATAACCTCAAAGTTTTCGCTTAGTTTCTTGTGCTCACCTCCATGATTACTTCTGAAAGAAGCTTTGACGCGTCTGCGAAACTTCAATGTCAAAACACTCGTGGGAAAATATACCGTAAGCAGACCCCTGCAATTGTTTTGCCAACGACACGGCAAAGCAAGCTAGCAATACGCCTCGTCACATCGTCACTCGTGAAAATATCCGCTTATCATGTCTGGACGCCAACAAAGAGTGTTGGTGCAACCCATTGTATGTTGCCTGATTCAAAGTCAATTTCTATTCACCGATGATCTTTCTTTGCACAGAATGTGATCTTCAAAAACCTGCAGCAGGTCTGTTCCAGTATGAATACTCTCTCTTGACACTGACATATGCGTATAGCGAACAAAAGTTGTCATATGGTTGTACGACAACATCGAGATGCGGATTGAAGGGCGTATCATTGTACGTGCACTTTCCCAGTTTCGAACATTTTTGGGCGTTGAAGCGCGTCTCTGGCAAGGCCATGGCACTCTGTGTTTGCGTGATGCGCGGCGATCTTTCTTATTTTTCTCCCTTTGCTTGAGGTCCATTGAACTGACGCGATGCATCTGTTTCTTCAGGGATTTGACGAATTCATGAATGTCGTGATCGACGAGGCTGCAGAAGTCTATGTCAAAGATGCCAAACCACGACGAGAGCTTGGTGAGATCCCTTATCTGATGGATTCCATGCATGGATCCCTGATATAGCTCCAGGTCGTGTACTACTAAAAGGCGATAACATCACCCTCATCCAACAGGTGGTATGATATATTGGCTCTGTTCATGTAAAACCTTGTCTTTCTGCACACACCGGTATATGATGTGCTCCTACAATGTATCATAATAATTTTGTGCTGCAGCTGACGTACCTCAGCAAACGTTCGTGCTACGCATGAGGACAACCTGATAATACAACAGAACAGAACAAAATACGACATCAAACTATAGATTGTAAATCGGCAATAACCTCGTAAGACTAAGTGCCTGTCTACACAAAGGACACTCTGCCTTCTCCCGTCCCCATCCTACAATACACCCCCAACAAAACAAGTGCCCACACTCGGTTGCACAGCTATCAGTTCGTTCTTCTAGACAAAGTGTGCACGTCCTCCCTGCCCGCTGAGGTGGAGGTATCGACGTGATATCTAAGATTGTGTTCTCGTCCTCTTCCGCTGGTTTCACATCAGACTCGGAGGCAGAGACGCCGAGTAAGGTTGAAACAGGCCGATCGTCAATGAACATCTCATTGGTCGAGTCCAGCGAACGCTTCCCTGAGGACTTTTCCGAAGCAGCTTGAGATCTACTGCGCAAAAATGTAACAAGTCGGTGGAGAAGGCGTATCGCAATGAGTATTCCAAGCAATGAATATGATGGCGGGCGAGCATGAGGGTTCTCTGGGATAGAAGACACCTGTCACCAAATACCTAGATCGGTTTCTTGTGCATCGAAAGGAAGAGACACGACCTACATGTCGAATGCCCAACACCCTCTTCACTAGATCATAGTATGTGCCCCGCAGATAAAACAACGCTAGGTTGATTTCCGTCCCTACTTCCAAACACACCTGTAGCGCCTTGAGCAACTCGCCCATTCTCGGGCTCAGGGCACCAATGTGGGAACCCCAACGCGCCAGAGCATACGAAGGAAGCGTAGGTAGGAGGATAAGCGCAGCTCGGAGAGAACGCGAGGGTGTTCTTCCATCAGAGGAGTATTCCCAGATATCTGTGTATTCCTCCCCGAGAGTCTGGACAGCTAACATGTGGTTAGCAAAGGGTTAACCCTTGCAGAAGATATAGTACCTCGACCAACGGATAGTCCGTAGTACATGAGTTTCACACCTAGCTCGACCTCCTTGTCCCATCGCGTGAGCCACCGTGTACCTTTCCGTTCACCATCAGCACCAGCAGTAAGGAAAGGATATGAGAACGCACCAAGCCACGATCGAAGTACTGACTCTGCTTGTTCCCTCAACGATGCAACATGGAACAAATCTCTCTGGTTCGCCCTTACTGCATAATTATCAGCATTCCTTGATGCAAGAAAAATGAGACAACGCACTAATTTGAGCCTGCTGAGCGTCGGGAAACGTAGGCAGGCGTGATGAAGATGCAGACATGTTTTCGGTAACCTCGGCCTCAATTGCGGCTGCTCTTTTCTGTTACACACAAGTACTTAGTACTTACTCACTTGGTACTCATTGCAACTAGTTGCATATTTCACTTTCACTCATCACCGCGAGTTTACTACAATGCCGCCCATGCCCGCAGCAAACAGAGCACAGGAACCTTCCACATGGCAAAAACGTACGTCCAACTATACATGTCACATCCAAGAATAATTTCTTATGACCGATTGACAGTGAAGTAGGTCCTAGCTATAGCTACCCCATAGCATAACCCTTTTCAAATATACCCTTTATCTCAGAATGGGCGCGATGATGGGCGGAGGCGTCGGTCTGACGATCGGTTTCATTTTTGGATCATACAGCATCCTTCGGTAAGAAGCCAACCCATCTTCGTTTTTACTCACCAAACATATTGCACAGAAATGGTTCCGGTCCTCGAGGGTTACTAGCTACGCTTTCGCAGTACATGCTCAGCAGCGCCGCGACTTTTTCTTTCTTCCTTGCTATTGGTTCCGTATGTATTTTTTCTCTCCGTGGAGTATGAGCTGTCCTCGAAGTGGGCCCTCTGACATCATCATGTACGCAGGTCATCCGTAATGACACGCTCCTACCACCACACATCGAAGCCGCCCGTCTGCAACTCCTTCCTCCACTCGTGCGCTCTAAGGCTGAAGGCGCCATGCTAGTGCGTGCACGCTGGGACGCAGAAAGGGCGCGAAGCACAACTGCGTAGTGCATGTATTAAGACCTATATGCGTTGATACATGGTTCAGATGAGAATATGAATGATCTAGCTAAGAACATTGTGTGTCGGGTGGGGAGTGAGTGTGGGGGTATAACAAAACATAACATGCTGCGAAGACATGCAAGCGCGCTCTGCGGCTCTTGTCCAGTATACGTATGGGTGCACATAGCTAACATCTTAAACATCAAATTCATATCTTTTCTAATCATCCTCTTTAGAACCACAAGTCCGAGGCAGAAGTCCACTCCCGTATGGGGTGAGAAGCGATGGTGACATGTAAGGGGTAAGGGAAGAACCTGGAGGTACGCAGTCTGCAATCACCGCCATAACTCGATGGAAATTGACTTACGCGGTGTAAGTGGAGTTAGACGCTATCGAACCACGCTCGTTACACGTACCCAGAACCGCTTCAGTCTCCCGCATTGTGTTGGTTTGGAACGTTGGCTATACACATCAACCAGTGATGCGGTATGGGCCAGGCTATATGGGCCAGATATAGTTGGTCTTTGAGGTGGAGTGGGTTTCCACCACCGTGCGAACCATCGACCTGGTTTGCTTTTGCTCTGAGCTGACGGAGTTGCCAAGGGGGAGTGGGGAGGTGAAGGAATTGGTGAATAGACATGATGGCTATGATACACCGTTGGTGCTTCAACAAACTTCACCGACGGAGCAGACCGCTTTTTCCTGCGAGATGTCTTTGTTGTCGTCGCAAGGGAGATTCCCGAGTCATGTCGAGTGAGGATGGATTTTACAGGAGCGGGAGCTGATTTTGTGTACACTGTCGAAGAAGAGGCGATGGATGAGACACTTTGGCGTGCACGATGCATTGAAGGCCGGATGTACTCCGAGCGGTATCGCGAATAAGAGGGCATTCCTGGGTTTGCAGGCATGGAGGACTCAAATAGTATGCTTCTGCGTCTGCCTGAGGATTCATCGCACTCTAAAGGTGGGGTCTATATAAGAAGGGTGGGCTATGGGTTACAGTATCTTTCATGGAGATAAGACGCACCAGAACTCTTCGAAGGCTGTGGGGCATTGAAGAGTAATTACCCTCGAATTCCTCTTCTTCAGGTATTATATCCTGACATTGTGTTAGGGATGCCACGTGTTGCGTTGATTTGACAACTCACCGCTAGATCACTCAAAGTGTTAACTGGAGAAAGATCAGTGATAGACTGCATGAATGGTCCATGAGAGACTGGTAGCACTACGGCGAGATGGATGAGCTCACATTGACTATAGTATCAGTATCCAGCCAATCTCTCAGAATCTCGTCGTCGGGCGCGAAAAAGTAGGTGGGCTGCTCGAACTCTTCTGGAAGCTTTCAGAATCGCTATATGGTCAGTCTAAAATGACATAAGAGATCCGCAAGGGCGCTTACGCTGAACCTGTGATTTTGAGTGACGGACATGGTAGTTGCAGAGAGTGAGAGAGCCAGCGTGCATTCTGAAAGGGCGATTCGAATATGTTCCGAGTGCACGTTGCAGGCCCGGGGCTATGAAAGTTAGGAAATGGATCAAGAACGCATGAAGATAAGGCTCGGGATACCGGATGTGAGTCATCTTGCAAGGTGGCAAAGGCGTGTTCGGGTAATGATTACGGGTACCTAATAAGGCACATTCCAGCATGCATGCAATATAGATCATGATTAAGCCCATCGTGTGCAGCACACGAATATTGCTTCCACATAAAGGCCATCATGGGAAGCAAGTCATGGAAAGTGACAGCGGGGATCTCTGTCGCTTACGGTCATTCACATGCATGTACATGCCATCTTACATGTCATTCCAACGTAGGTTATTACCTTGGAGATGACAGGCGATTATGTGTATTGATCCACCCACTGACTCGGATGTCGTTGATGCCTGTACAATAGCGAATGTACCCGATGATCCTCCAACATGCACAACAAGTGCTCCTGTCAGTCCGAGGCAGAGACAATAAAAACGTGCACAAAGACGTTAAGCACCATCTCCCCTTCGTAGTCGATTGAACTTTGGTAGCATCTCACGAAGATACTCTGCATGTTTCAATCTCAAATCAGCCTCTTGAATCCGTCCCCTTCCACTCCAAATCCTTCTTTCTGCAGCGGGTCCGAAGATGGACGTGTAGTCGTCGAGTGTCTCGTCGTCTGTAGGAACTACGAGGCATGCAGCACCAATGACGCAGTAATTTGATATTCGAACAGTATGGTGGACGCGTGCACGCGTAGATATAGTGTTGAAGTTACCAACGGATGGACATTCGACGCCTGTGGAAGAAGTTCGTGACTGAAGGCACGGATGGGGGAAAGGACATACGACAGCCAATCTCGAACAAATTGTTGTCACCAACTCTCATCACTTCTTTGCGGCGATTGACTATTATAGCGGCCTCTTCGATGATACAACCTGAACCAATTACGATAGGACCAGCTATTGCGAAGATGGTGGCTTTGGGGTGTACGACTGTGCCTGGCCCGATGGTGATGTCTCCCTTTAACTCTACATCTTGGCAGACCACCGCTCTTGAATGGATTGTGAACTTATCGCGGCTGCAAATCACAACGTCACCACTGGACGCAGGTAATTATGAATACAGCTAACTTACATAGGTGGCATGAGTTCAAGAGCAGCAACCCTAACCCTATTAGAACGTGTATTTACGGACTTGACATGGTTATTACTTTTTATGGGCCCCTAGGGGTCGCCTCGACTGTGTTTTCATCGTCTGCGTGTCTCATCTGTTCGTCATCTCGTCCGCTTGCCATTGAACTGTCAAAAAATAAAACCAAAGGTACATGAAATAAATCTATAGCGTTTTGTCCTCCCTTTATCTGTTCTGGTTGCCTCACACGTTGCGTCCTCGGTGGCTGGTAGTTGATGATGTGTTCTGTGAGTTTCTCCGAGGCCGCTGTCAAAATATACGCGGATCTGAGCTGGGGGTTCCGACTTGCCCTAAACGCTGCCCGTCGCTAGTGCAAGTTGATTCAACAATTTTAGCCCGTCATGCGGCAAGAAGTGCCACTCCACCGACGACGGAATCTCCTTTGTACCGTTTTAATGAGCCACTCGCTCAGATATAAAGCGTGTGCTCACTTTCCGTACCATTAGTGAATTAATTCCACTTACTCATCTCTCGTGATCCATCATTCTACATCGAACTTATTGCTTACACCCCTGTGCTTGTCAACGTTCACGCACTGATGCAGCATATCGTGGAGTTTGCTGTCCCTCTCCTTGCGATCAACGAAACGGAGATTGATGCCAAATTGATGCAGTTGCGGAACCATGCGGCAGCCCATGCCACATAGCGGGGAATGGTTAAATGAACCAAAATCCGCGGGCTCACCAAAAAGATGTCTCATTTGGCCGAGCATCAGAACTTCAGTCTAGCTGAAACCAGGCAATTGACGAAATACGATTTTATCGCAAGAGCTGCAAAATTCCATTAGACGCGGAGTGAGAAAAGGTACGATATGGATATGATAACTAACTATAACCCCGTCTATATTTTGAACGGGGTGTCGACATGCAACCCACTCCAAATGCCTCTTGTAGCCTCTGTCGTACTCTCCACAATACGGCCTCTTTTCAGCTGCTTTATCTTCGCGCCCGAGGAGTCGAGGAGTAATTGAACTTTTTTCTCCACACCATTAACTTCGAACTCCTGCAGTGGAATGACCTTGTCACGACCGTTAACTACGATCAGGTCAGATGAGTGTTCGGTATCACAAAAAGAAGCCACACAACCATAAAATCCCCTTGCTATTGGTTCATGACCGTTGCGCTGCTTGACCACGAATTCAACGTGTGGATTCTGCCATGCAACACGCTGGAGGTCATTTAATATGAAAGTACGAGCATTGGTGGATGAAGGAAGATTCTGGCAATATTCTAATACTATTTTCCTGACCTGTGGGACGTATGCAGAGTGACCATTTGCAGGATAAGAGCGTAGCTGAGCTCTAAGGATTTGTTTTGTGGCCATGGACTGGAGAAGGAGGGGTATCGGAGTATGAACTTGTTTGCGGGTGAGACTGATCGGAGTATGAAAAGAACGAGGAGAGAAGACTTGGTTTACATCGACTAAGTTGTCTGCGTGAGGATTAATATTCTAATTCGACCATCGACGCGTTGAGCCCTGAACGCGTTCATCCCCTAATCTTTCCTCGCCACATTCAAAATCTATAAGAACTACGAATCGGACAATTCTATCATGGCTAGAGCGACTCGTTCAGCGACACAGCAGAATGAAAAAGATAAACAGCCAGATCCAGGAGTTTCACAGCGCGCAAAGCAATCCACAAAGAAACGCAAGCGCGTTTCACTCCCAGACGATGACCAGCCTGCACAAAAGCAGCATCGTACAGAGAATGGCATAAAGGAGGAATCAACAGACGACAAGTTGTCCAAGGGAAAGATGCCCGAGCTCGACCATGTAGCCGATGTCCCTCTAGACACTCCAATCGCGCAAAAGGTCCTTGAAATCCTTGAAATGTGAGTCGAATGCTGTTATTAATTCATCTCCATCTTCATCTTTTAATCACCCCTACAGGGTCGACTCTCAAGGTCTTCTCGACCGTGTCTTTCCTCTACCTGCCATAAATCCATCCCAACCCTCCACTTCAAAATCGCAAACGGGAACGTGTTCTCTACGTACCCTCCTCAGCGATTCGTCACAGCACCCACTCAGGGTGCTGCATGTAAGTTTCCTGCATTCTCTGACATTGGCTTGACTCATGAATGGCTTCTAGTCCGCAGTCCAGAATCTATTTCCAGAGGTACATCACGCGAGGTCTCGTCCATCCTCTGCTGCTGCACTGCAACTGCGCTTTTGTAATCTTGCTATCTCCCTCCTCAACCAAGCATCCTTCCACTCCGTTCCGCTCCCCCTTGACATCGAATCTATAATTCCAGTCAATCCAGAGCCGTGTGTTGCAGATGCACCACCTCTCAACCTGAGCCTCCCTGACAAAATATCTCATACCGGACAGGGTAAGAAATATGCCCTTATGCAACGCCTCCCATCCGGCACCTGGTGGTCATCCCTCGGCTCAGACCTCTTAACCGACTCAAAAGAGTTCAAAGACCTCCAAACTGCCAACGCAGAACTTGTTGCCATCCTCCCATCACCTTCGTCTCTTGCACACTCCGATGCCACCTCCAAGTCGACCAATACTCTCACAGACACGCAGGCTCCAATGACGCTGGGTGCCTATGTACCGAAGAAGCCTCCAGGACATCGGTCAAAGCTTCTCGGCCCTCGGCACGTGAGCTGCGGGTCATTTTTGGACTATGGTCCCTATGCAAGCTTCGCTCCGACCTTTGATCAAGAAGGAGTGGAGATTGGAAGAGAGGCGCTTGGGGAGGTCTTGTGGAGATGGGAGGATAGGAAGAAGCGTTGGGCTACTGAGAAAGCGCATGCTGCTGAGGAGGCTGCACAGTGTTCGCCTATGGCGGGGTTGGAGGAAGACAAGGAAGAGCAGAATAACGTCATCGACCCGTCACTTGAGGAGAGTCTTAATGATGACGAAGAGGTTTTGGAGGGTTTGCTTTCGAAAGAGCAGATTGCCTCCCTGAAATCTGTCCTCAAGAGCTTAGAGTTAGAGAATGCCATTCAGGAGCTATTAGATCGGAATACGAAAGCTCTTAGGCGGTTAGAAGAGCTTCAGAGACAACGGCTGACGAAAGATGGGGGATTTCATCCAGTCGAAGAAGGATCAGAAGAATGGGATACTGGTAAGGGCATTCTGGAGAAATTCTGCTGCCAGACTTAGGTTTTCTTACAGCTCAAAGCATTCTCGAATCACTCACCTTGCTGGCATCGCTACGACCTCGACAGTCGGGAAGTGCTGATGTACCACTCATTCCCTCTACAGCCACACTTCACAAGCTACATCGCACGCTCCCTGTTGCACCCTCACAAGGCTGGCATGGCACCCTACCTACAGGTCGTACAACAGCTCTTCGCGATAACTCAACACTGTACATCAAGTCCACCGCCACCGCAGTGCCCTCTCTACCATCAGCCACGCCTACGCCTGTCCCTGCAATACCCGCTACTGCTACACCAGCTGCTGCAACAGCCGCAGTTGCACAGAACTACCAGTACTCGTACAACTATGCAGCGGCAGGCTACCGCGGGAGTTATCAGTACAAGCCAGGACAGACACCCTCCTACTACCCCGCTTCATATGGCACACAAGGACAGGCCCAAGCTGCCACGCAATATTATGCTAATCAGCAATACGCAACATCAGGGCAACAGCAATACGCCTACTCTTCCTGGTATCAGTATCAACCTCCAACCCAAGCTGCTGCCGCCAGCACTAGTACGACAACTGCTCCGGGAACACCTCAGACGGGTGCAGTTGCTGCTGCAACTGCACCTACAACCCCAGCTGCAACGATTCCAACGAGTTATGCAGGGTTTTTCAGTAATACTGCACAGGCTGGACAGCGCGCAGTAGCGAACACTGTCACCGCAAAACCACTCCAAGCTGCTCCAGGCACAATTTGGGGCACAGGAACAGCTGGCGCGAGTGGCTACGTTCCTCCAACGCTCCCTCCACATATGCGAACCGCTGCTGCAGGCGGTACCGCACAGCAAGGGGGGTATACTTACCAGCCTAATTATTATGGGGCGTATCAGCCTCAACCTCAGGTTTCGACTGCTGCGTCTCCTGCCCAGTGATAGCAGTGATGGGTGTTTTGATCTTTTGTTTTATGTCTTAGTTTCAAAATTATATTTCTTTCCATTTGCTGTGTGCCCCGCTTGGTGTGGTTTAAACTGGGTGGGGGATACAATATGAGCTATGCCATGGTAGTAGATTGTTGTGATAATTAATAATGATTAATTGGAGCTTGGAGGTTTGCAACAAGTTACTGGAAATGACCAGAACATCATAACATGCTCAGACTTCAAAGCTTCAAGCTCAAGCTTCAAGACTCTGTTCAGTTGGAAAACAGCCCCAAGTACCTGGCAGGCTGGCACTGCACAAAATTTTATAATTTCACGACGACACGTGACCTCGCTGACGTGATGAGGAACTCAACGCCAGGTTTGTGCGTCTGCAGCTCCCGTTCCGTTGCCGAGTACTGAGTACTGAAGCTTCAAGTTGTCAAGCAACATCTTGTGGCCGCTCTCACATCTCATTCATCTCCGACTCCAGTAGGAAGGCCCTGGGTGATTTCTAGGAAGATGCGGTTTGTCTATTATCCGTTTATTTATATAACAAATGATGGAAAAACTGCATCCTACTGAAATCGAATCAAGCCAAGCCCGATTGCTGCATGATAATGTATCTGACAAATAGGACGGACAAAAATCGCACTCGTCGTAAAGCTATTCGAGCATTGTTAGCAAGTTTGGCGAGTCTCTGTTTCTAATTGACCACCATGACTGATGCGGATGTTCTTGAGTGTTGTGGTCCGAGCATGGAAAGCATTGACCCAAACTCGCGTCTCATGGTCATATGTGCCTACTTTGATTAATTCTATGGAGATCCTGTAGCAACTTGAACTAGGCGGTTTGGCTCCGGACGTACAATCATCGCACAACAAATTCCACAGAAACCTTCGACCTAGAAACCCTTACTGCAGACACTATCCATTTCCATCCGCTTGTCGATGCCTTGGTGGCGTGTGATTCAAAATGCACTCAAAGCTGCCAGCACCCAGCGTCTGGCTGCACTGGGCCACACAAACAACCCTCGGTTTTGGGACTCCAAATTCTGAACTTCCGAACAATCGATACACCTCACGAGGGATGTGAAGACAAGCGCGAGGTGATTCAATTCATGTGAAATAGCGGCAGCTCCAGTGCTGCAGCGCTGATCCACTGCATTTCGAGGTGCATAGCGAACCCCTGTTTCCCGAAGCAGTGGAGCCAAACCGGGGGATTGTCCCGGAGTTCTCCCTGGAGGATTTCGAAAATATTATGTAATGAGTCTGGCATTCAGTACATGGGCACGTTCTGGAAGGAGACGACGTCAGCCAGCGCCTCGACAGATGGAAAAGGCAATTGGGACACGAGATTGAATGCTGATATTGAAAGCAGAGGTAGTTCATTATTTATGTTTCATCTAACACTGTCAGATGTAGGCATGGATAAACAGGCTGCATCCACCCAGCATTCAACTGCTTGAGATTTTTCTTTTTTGCCAGTGTTCTAGTATGATCATGTCTGTCTATTTGGCCTGTGTAACTCACGGCGTCGAAAGTAAAGCTTCAGTACCCTGTCAAACTAATATTATAGGTATAGGACCAGTTCATTTATATGGTGTGAACCCTATTTTACAGGCGGTATCATCCCTATTATGTTCGCATTTGAAAGGACAGCAGCATCACCTGATGCTGTCAAAGCAGCAAGGACGGTGAGGACAAGGGATAAGTGCATCATCTGCGAGGATGTGATATGGTATCAAATAAATCTGGGAACTTGAAAATGCCTTGCCTTTATACGCTAAATATCGTTCTTTATGACGATAGTCGGAAGGACCGCTCTGCAACGCCAACAGACCTGAATTTCAAAGAGGGTGTTAGATTCGGTGGTTTGTTGTCGCCTGACGTTACCGTTGCCCTTGCGTGAGTTACCTACGACGGACCTTGACTTTTGCCTATTAGTGCCGTTGGCTTAAACCTTTGCAGAGGACGTACTATTAAACTCGCGAGCTCGTTGCAAGCTATTATTTGTTATCAAACGTCCATTTGGCTCACCATAGTGGAACAACCATTATTTCGGTGTTTCGGCATATGTAGTACGGGCACGATTATCCTGATAATTCAGAAGGACTCAGACATGTGGAAGATCAGCTTCTTAACATTGTGCGCTACTTGGTCTTCTATGTTCAATGTGTTTGTTGGCCATTCGAGGTATCCTTTTGAAGGTATCGATAGATAACGAACACCCGGAAATATAATGTGGCACGTTGGCAGAACGTGGAATGTCCTGCGGCACACTATGTTGGGCATCATTCCATTTTCAGGAGGCAGCCAGGTTG